TTTTGACCATTGACCACGGTTCCCTTTAGAGAGGGAGCACCGTTCTTACACCTACTAGAGACACCACCAACATTTGGGAGTTCTTAACGTTTCTGCCACAAACCCCAACTATGTGGGGGGGGGGCTAAGATGACGATGAGTCCTCACCGTGGTTTCTAGCTTGGAGGCCGTCAGGAACGAGGCGAGCTCTGCGGTGTAGGATGCGGCCAGGACGAAAGAGGTGAACAGCCAGCCTGCGACAACCACAACACAATCACAACACAAGATGAGATAAGATGAATGATAGGAGTATCGTACGATGTAAAGACAAGATAAGACAAGCTGGATCCGGTAGGACGCGGCCAAGACGAAGGAGGTGAAGAGCTACCCTGCGACGACCTCAATTACAAGACAAGCTAAAAACAAGGCAAGAAAAGACACGATAAGATACGAAAAGGCAAGAGAAGACAACGCATATGTCAATCCAAGACAAGATAAGACAAGATAAGACAAGATAAGGCAAGGCAAGACGAGACAAGACAAGACATAGTAAGACAAGCCAAGCCAAGACAGGCCACAACTAAGATAAGTTAAGCTGGAACCGGAAGGAAGATCGCCGTGTGAAATATATTAACAATCAGAGAAGACGGCGGCAGCGGCCGCGGCAAAAGAAGCAGCATCGATGTTGCCATCTTCTCACTGCGGGCACTGCGAAAAGCACTGCCAGTCGATTTTTCATGTTTGTTCGCGGCAGATAAATACCGAGAGTAGCAAGTGTGCAATAACATCGATTCCAACAACGGCGACGGCTCGACACGACGGCCCCGACAACGACAGAAACAACCGCCCAAATACAGCAAGATGCACACCGCATGCCACAAAACACAAACGACAAGCAGCAGCAAGCAAACACTCCCTTTTACTCTCTCAACACACGGAAAAAATGAAAAATTACCGAGGGTGAGCAGATACCCCTCCAGCGTTTCGGGCTTGTGCGTGAGCTGCGACATCATCAACGACGACGTCACGTAAACCGAACGGCTAATACCCTGCGGGTTTCGACAGCAACACCACGGAAGACAAGAGGGGGGAGAGGAAAAGCGACAGAGAAAGAAGGGAAGCACGGCGTCAGACAAACAACAACAGCACCAAACTTGGTCAGACCACCCCCCCCCCCCCCCAAACCCCCCTGAAAGAAATTTTTCAAATCCCCACCAAAAAGCCGTCTCTTGGAAAAAAACGGCGGAAAACGAGCTCTGAGGGCCCGGGACGTGGAGCAACCATAACTATGGGTGTAACTCCAAAGGGTAGTCCTTGTGTGGTTGGATTCCTTTTTCCCCCTAAATAACTTCCACTCCCTCCCAAGAAAAGTAGAAACGACAGAAAAAAATGGGAAGACCTCCCAGGGACCATGACGTGAAACCCCGGCCCCCGCCCCCCCCCTTCCTTTGGGTTTTTAGGAA